CAGCTGAACCATATACCAGGCTCAGATAAAATTAATTTTGAGACTCTTAAGAGTACTTTCACCTACAAAGATAGAAGAAAAAAGTAAAACTAACAAAGAAAGAATATCACTGGCACACAGCTGTATTAAAAAATGTTTATCAACCAAAATTAAATTTGGTTGTCAGCCAACGTACATTCCTCAAAGTTTCTTGAGATCATGTTTCAAAGACAACAACAAAAGTAATGACTGTCATGGATTTATGGCAAATACCATAGCTAAACAGTAACAATGGTTTGATATACGAATGGCCCTGGGCCCTCTGACCACATCCATATTGCAACTAGGTTTAAGATTCTTAAACAACCTTACTTTTTACCTGTCCTGCTAACTTGGGCACCAAGGTGATATTTAGAAACACTACTCATACCTACTCAAGAATAAACATGTAAGTGAAAAGTATGCCTATGCAAAACTTCTGCTCTCTAAAACCTAGAACAGTGATGACGAACCTTTTAGAGACCAAGTGCCCAAACTGCAACCCAAACCCCACTTATTTATTGGAAAGGGCCAACTCTGCAATTCAACCTAAATATCTGATACTGGGCTGCTGTGGTGATGTTGAGGGGCCTTGGCTTGTGTGTCCATAGAGAGGGCTCTGAGTGCCCACAGTGGCATGTGTGCCATAGGTTCGCCACCACTGGTCTAGAATAAATCAGAGAACACTAGGATACAATGTTAATGTTCACACAGAAAATGAGAATATATATATATATATATATATATATATATATATATATATATACCGTGTTGCAAGTGACTTTTTGTTTTGCGTTCAATGCAGATGCTGAGACAGGATTTTTTTCTCTTCATTGAATTTGATATTTTTAAAGTCGCAGTTGGTGTGGGATGATGAAATTAGGCACACAGAGTGGGATGGAGAATGAGAAAGATGAATAGTAATAGTCATTTGGATTTTTAAAATTTTGATGCTAGCTGGGGATGAAATCTACAGCTGGCACTTTGGTATATACATATAATAGAAGGTAAAAAATATTGTAGTATTAAAAAAACCTCTAGGTTTACCTCCACGGACATTCATTGATTGCAGTTTCAATGCTTTGGCAGCTATAGTCATTCAAAAGATATTCTGGAATAAGAATCTAAAGAAATATTCTTAGTTCAGCTGCAAAAATTCCTAGTTTACAATCAAGAAGTAGCTTAACCATGGGGCAGTCTGGCTATTGTAATTAGCACTCTTAAGTCCTGTAAAAGTTCTCCACAGCTTTCTTGTATAGTCCATGTCACATAGATGAAAATGATGCCCCTTTTTTATGTTTTGGGACCTTGGAAACAGAACCCTTGACTTCTATGGGTGAGTGAGATGGTATGAATTGTTTACTCACTAAGAACATGGAAATGATATCAAAGGGATCACAATCAATTTGAGAGACATGGGCAGGATGAAACAAAAATCAGTGATGCTAAGATTTGGGAGCCAATCAGATATAAGTCTGAAATGTTATATGGTGCTCAATCAGAAAGTTCACTGTGATTTGGAACTATTTAAGCAACGGAATTATATAGCAAACAAGGGCAAAATAAGTTGCCCTAATCTGGAATATTGGACTCCAGGACTGAAAAGGAATAAGTATTGGGAGGGAAGCCAGAGAATATCATCAACAATGATGGTTTTAAAACAAAATATGAACTTTATAGTGTAGCCAAACCACAGAGTCAGACACAAGGGGCATGATAAAAATCTACAGATAGCTCAGAGATCTAAACACCAAGGGTAAAGAAGAATTTTGGCTGGAGATTTAAAAAATATCGAGGGATAAAGTTAAGGGAAATTTAGGTTAAGCATCAGAATACATCCTTTGATGGTAAGATGTTTATGTTTGTAGAATGGTTTCTCAAGAAAGTAGAAAAAATAGTGATGAGTTCTCTAGGATCCCACACAAAAGAATACCTTGACATCAGATCCAGGATTCTACAACTTCCAGTAGAATACTCCTGGACCACATGGAATAGTGTCATTTAAAAAAAAAATACTGAAGTTCTCTGATAATGGGAATAGGTAGCTAACAGACTGCTCTGTGCCTTAATAAAATAATATACTAAAGCTTTAATTATGCCTCTGAGAAAAAATACCCATAAACAAGTATGGCACTACTTTTTAATAGTAAATGCCCTAATAATGGAGCAAAAGCTTAGAGACCTGTTTTAAAGTGTATTTTAAAACCATTTATTTTTAGACTAGAAGTCATATTGCTTCTGAAGCCAGCTAAGCAAAATTCTGGGGATCAAAGTAACATGATCACTTGGTCTTGAAACTGGTAAATGAAACCCATAGGTCTTCCTTAAATGAATTTGGCGTAACCTGACAGTCAATCAGAAAGAGCAATGTGGAAGGGATTATGTAACAAACAGGAATAAAATAGGATGCCCTAACTGGGAGTAAATGAATATACCATAAGTCATGATTGTAATATAAACCTAATCCAGTCAGGTCGAAAATCAGAATAGTTTTTAAAATATCAAAAAGCAAATCCAAGTAATTTCTTACAAAATCTTTTTTCCAGAAGACCCACCACTTTTCTCCCTGTGTTTAAAAAGCACACATACTTACATCAACTGAGTTCTTAAGAGGAGCTCTGGGTTAGTTAAATGAATACAATCATTTCCCTCAAGAGGGCATTTCGGAACGACCATATATACCATGTTCCCATAAGATGATAATGGAACTGAAAAACTCCTATTGCCTAGTGATGTAATAGTGCAATTCATTACTCCTGTGTTTGTGGTGAAGTGGGTGTAAATAAACCTGTGCTATTTATAAAAGTAGAGCACACACAATTATGTAGAGTACATAACACTTGACAATTATAATAAGGACTATATGGCTGGCTATACTATACTTTTTTATTATTATTGTAGAGTATATTCCCACTTTAAAAAATTGTTCACCATAAAACAGTATGCTGTGTCATGCTGGCAGCAGCCTCGTACATCCCATGTTACTGCATCTCTTGATTGCAGCAAGAAGCCAGGTTGAGTGATTGGTCCGTACCAACTAGGTTTGTTTAAATACACTCCATGAGGTTCACACAGTAGAATCACTTAACAATGTGCTTCTTAAGCCATGTCCATGGTTAAGCCTCACAAAAATGTATTTAAAATAATTTATTTATTGTTCCCAACCATGAAGCAAGTTTCAGGCTAATGGAGGGTCAAGACGCATCAGAAACAAGCTGACAAATTAAATGGCATGTGTGTGCCCCAAGTCCTGGGAGGGCCAATAGAAGTGTTCTGCTCATTGGCTCTCCACTCATGACCATGAATGCGCATCTTTGCATCTGTAGGAAATTCATATGAGCCCTCCACAATTGCAGCAGGCTGTGCTTTCAACCTCATATTCATTTTATGGGCTTAGAGACACAGAAATCATATGAACTATAAATTACATTTACGCAACTCCCCTGAGTTATAAGTGGTCCTGTGAAGTGTGACTCTTAACAATCTACCTCAAACACCCAAATCCAATGAGCCATAACCATGAGCTGGTATTCTAGTAGTATAGACTCCTGCTAAGTGTTTTTATTGTTAGTGACAAATTACAAGGTATTGTTACCCAAGAAAAGGCAGGCAAAACCCACACAAGTACTTCCAAGTTGACTTGTGTGAGGAGGGAAGAAAGCAAACTTCACCATCCCCCAAAGGTCATTTGGACGTGTGTAGTCAGGCAGCAAGGAATCTTAAATGCTGTCTCTCAGCTGGACACTGATTGAAAGCCACTGAAAATACTTACGCTTTGCAAGGTGAGAAGGAATGGGCAGCCTCACAGGGGATGGGAAATTAGAATCTTACTCTGTCTTCAAGCTTCTTATAGCTCCTTAAAGGTATGGGGAGGTACTGGGATGCTTTCTGCTCCCTGCATTTATAGAAAGGAGTACAGCCTGTCGCGAAGATTCATGTGTCACAGCCCTTTGAGGAGGTAAAGAATTGTCCGCTGATTAGATTTCCTCATCTAGCTCCTTGTAGATATTTGGACACCTAGGAATATTGAACAGCTTTAAAAAAAATCACAGTAAATTACTTATTCCCCGATAATATTACAGGGAATAAAGGACAAATTCTAAAACCAAACTAGACGACTTACTAAGGCAACTGTTTTATAATTTCATTGTAAACCTTTTTTTTTTTTTTTGCTTAAATTCTTTTGTTGGTACATTTTAGGTATACAATACGTTTACATTTGTCTTTGGGTGCTTGTACCTGTATATGATGCATCTTGGTTCTTATTTTTTTCCCCATTACCTGTGCGCCCATCACCCCCTCCACCCTTCCCTATTTACATAGATTTCGTTTCCATTTTTTTCTTTTCTCATAATTTTTCCTTTCCATTCTTTCCTTTCCCCATCTTGTAAACCTTTTTTTATAAAAGAAATGATAAAGTCATCTTTCCACTTATATAAAATTCTTTTCATCCCAAAGTGGTAAAAGGGGACACACAAACACAAAAAGTACACACGCATCTCCAACATTCTGTGTGCTCCCTGCTGAGATGGTTGTTAAAACACCTTGCAAAACGTAAGCTTTCCATCAAAAAGCCCCCCAAGCGGTGGCTGATGCTCTGTGCTTTACTGGTCCCGGGAGTCCGGGCAGAGAAGCTGCTTCTAGACTCATCTGGGAGCCCAGAATATTGACTTCGCCAGCGTTTTCCAGCTACCCAGCATTGTTGCCACCGCGTGCTGCTCTGCTCGAAGAGGCGTCCGGGTGCGAAGGCGGAGACAGATCACTTGGTCGGCGCCTACCTGCGTGGGCTCTCCACTGACACTTCGCCTGGCGCCTGCCCCTGTCCAGTTCCACTCACCCCTCCTCCTGGAGCAGTTTAAGCTCTCACGGCCCTTACTCGGAGAGGACTCCATCCCCTCCACTCTTCTTAGTAGGTTCCCACCTCCAGCCAGTTAATGGGCGACCGCAGCATTTGACTGCACCGCTCTCCTTCCTTTTAAAAAAGAAACACAGTGGTAGTGGTGGTGGTGGGGAATTTAACTCCAACTTCTGTACAAACGTCCCGGGCTGCCCATCTGACACCAGTGGGTGGGGTGCAATCTGACACTTCCCTTCCTTTCCAGAAACGTGAGTGGAGCTGGAGCGCCCCTCCATCTGGGGGAGGAGATGGTTTGCATTTTCATCCTCCGGACTTTCTCCCCGGGAGAGGCCGGGTCTCTGAGGTTAGCTGCCCGCTCTGCGCTGCTCCCAGGTTTGGCGCCTGGAAAACCTCACGTCCTGCTTTCTCCTGCTGCAGGCCCCGCCCCTGCTCCAGACCCTCAGTTGCCCTGGCCCTCCCCATCCCGGCCACTCCCTACCCGTTGCCTCTAGCGCGAGCGTGCGGGGACATCTCCGCTTCTGTTCTAGGCCCAAAGCTGGCTGCGAATATCGAGTGTCGCTCTACAGCGGAACGGGGGCACCCGCTCCTGAGGGGGTCCCCTGAGCTCCCTCCGTTCCGAAGAGCGCTGAGCGCTGCCGGCAATTCTCTCTCGTCATAGTCACTTAGCCCTTGCGAGGCCCTGGGCGAAGCTCGCACGGTGTCCTACTTTGCCGCAAGACCGAGTTCCCGCAGGAGCTTTGAACTTGGACACACTCCTGGACTTCGCCAGTCGAAAGCGTGGGCGCAGCAGCCCAGCGGAGCCCAAAAGCACAGGCTCAGGCGACAGGGCATCGCGAGGGTGCACCGAGGGCTCAGCTGAGGCGCTCGGCTCCAGGGCCGAAGTTCTCATCGAGCGAGCGGAGAGCGCGGCGGACACTCCCTGGGCGCACGCCCGGGCAGCCTCCTCCCCAGCCCCCTGGACGGTCCTCAGGCTGTGAGGAGGAGCTTGCTGGAGACTTCCAAGTTGTCCAGAGGCAGCGAGCCCTAGCGCGGTGTCTCCCGCCTAGGCTAGGAAGGGGGAGTGGCGCTGGCGAGTTGGAGTTAGGAGCCGAGAGAGCGCCTGACCTCCCACCCAACTCTTTCCTACGCTGTTTGCCACTTGGGCTCCAGGCAAGGTTCTAGCGGTCGGAGCCCTTTTTCCTAGAAGGCGGGTGATGGATCTCCCGCTGCTGCCCCCTCAGGGGCACTTAGAGCGCGCTAGCGGTGCGTGAGCGGGGCACTGACCTCAGCGTGGCCCTCCTGGCAGCTTTTCCCAAACCGCCTTCTTTTCCCAGCCCAAGGCCTCCGGGATTCCAGGAGGGAGAGAGAAGAAGGAGAAGGTGGCCCTCAGGCACAGCTTCTTCGAGATGTCCGCACAGAGCCTGCTCCACAGCGTCTTCTCTTGCTCCTCGCCCGCATCTGGCGGCGCGGCCTCAGCCAAGGGCTTCTCGAAGAGGAAGCTGCGCCAGACCCGCAGCTTGGACCCAGCCCTGATCGGCGGCTGCGGGAGCGAGACGGGAACAGAGGGTTGCGCTCGGGGGTCCACAGCAGGCCGCCTCTACTCCCCGCAGCCCCTAGCCGAGAATCTTGGCCCCCGCTCGGTGTCTTCTCCCCGGAGCCTGACTTCTCGGGCCAACTGGCTCCCCACACACAGACCTTTCTGCTCGTCCTTCTCCACACCCAGCACCCCGCAGGAGAAGTCGCCTTCTGGCAGCTTCCACTTTGACTACGAAGTCCCCTTGGGTCGAAGTGGTCTCAAGAAGAGCATGGGCTGGGACTTGCCTTCGGTCCTGGCTGGGCCTGGCAGTGGCCGCGGCGGGGCAAGCATCCTCTGTTCCTCGGGAGGAGGCCCCAATGGCATCTTTGCTTCTCCCAGGAGGTGGCTCCAGCAGAGGAAGTTTCAGCCCCCACCCAACAATCGCGGTCACCCCTACATCGTGTGGAAGTCTGAGGTAGGGACCGGCGCCGTCCAGCCTCGTGGCCCAAAGCTGGAAACTCCAGGCAGTTCTAGGAGCTGTCTTTAATATTTTAAAATATGTTTGTAATGCCAAGCACCCGCTGAGGGGTTTCCATGGTGTAGCTATTGGACTTAGGCTGGTCAAGTGGTGCCTGGAAACAGGACAAGCCTAGTGGACACCTGAGTGTATGTCCTGTAGGACTGGTTAGCTGGTGGAAGAGATGGTGTTCTGATTTCCTGTTTGTGCTGCAGGCAGTTTCAGGGGGTCATCTTATTCCTTCAGCCAATGTTGATATTTTTTGAAACTTAAATCATTTATTGATAAGCTGTTTGTAATGATCAGATGAAATATATTTTTATGTATGTGTCATCTGGTTGTTCTACAGAGAATTCAGGAGCATCAGTCTGAAGGATGTTGTTGAGTGTGTACGGAGGGGTGTGTGTGTGTGTGTGTGTGTGCTGCATGCACACATGTTTGGGAGGCAGAGTGGAGTCTTTGTGGACTACTAGAATTCTCTAGTTTGGATTTCTTTTCCCTAAAGGTGTAATTTCAGAAATCCATGGTACTGAATACTTTCTCTGCCTAGGAGTATGAAATATCATGGAAATATGCCCAAATTCCACTAAGGACAATTAGTAGTGAAATAGACATGAATCAGGAACCAACAGTAAGTAGGGAACTCAGAGGCAGCTATTTGATACCCTTAAAATGCTTGCTTTCTGGTTAAGAATGGAGAATAGAGCTTTTGGGAGACTGTGGTTGGTGGGAACTTGGAAAGCAGTAGGCTTTTAGAGAATAAATAGTAGTTGGTTAAAAATGACTGATTCTTATATCCCTTTCAGTCCACCAACTCTATAGATTTGCCTTGGATCTGTTTCCATAAGGGAAGGGAGATCCCATCAGTTGTAATTAAATATTTTAAAGCACAGTTAGTATTACAGAAATGAAACGGAATACTATGTAATTGCTAGAGATTTAGACTAAATAAAGGAAACACAACCAAGCAAAACAGTTTGAAAATAACATCCAAGATCATACTCAGCTCTATCAACATAAGATAACTGCTAGATTTCAGTTTTAATAGAAAAACCAGTATTATCTCTCAGAAATATTAGCACCACATATTATTAATGTTAGTTACTGTGTCAAAGTGACTTCTGCTGCTGCGGGGGTATGGTTTACAAAAAAACCTTAACAAACCTGGCTGTGTTGCCCATTTTCTTGAGGAAGGTAGGCAGTAGCAAGAAAAGTTGAAGCAGCAAGCAGATATTAACTTTAAACTAGGGGACTAAGAATTAGAACGTGGATCAAAATAAAAATGTTGAACTCTTGCTCTCTAGGAGAAGCTGGTTTCCTGTTCTGTTTCAAAACACACATTATCAGATTAATCTCAAGGAGTTGAGAGAAGTGAAAAAGTAAGCCAACTTCTTGGATTAGATAGCCACTGGCATTTGTGTTTGAAACCGATTGCATTATTGAGACTGTTCATGGTTTTCTTAGCAACTGCATATATTGTACTTAGAATGTACTATACAGACACTGTTCATTGCTGTTATGCCCAAAAAGTGTTTGACTGTAGATCATCTCACTTGTTGAAAATTATTTTCTTATCCATCAAAATCTTATAATCAATGGACAGGTATCTGAACTGACTGCAGTAATACTGAGTGACATCTGACTTCCTTATCATGTTTGAATACTCTGAATGAAGCTCATATACCTTGACTTTCAACTTTTTGCAGTGATTAAAGTTAAGTGCATAGGGCCGGGGATTTAGCTCAGTGGTTCCGCAGCCTGCCTCGCAAGCACAAGGTCCTGAGTTCGATCCCTGGTACCAAAGCAAAACAAAACAAAAATTAAGTGCATAGCTATCTAGCAAAAATAATTTTTTTCATAAAAGTTTTATTTGTGTACAGGGCTGGGGTAGCGGGAATCCCTTTATGCTGGAGGCAGATATGAAGTGATTGGATGGTACCCTGGCATGCAGGTTGGATGATGATTTTGTTTAGCAGAGGCCAAGATAACCTAACCTAAATCCTAGGTTTGGAATTTAATAACCTGGATTACTTTTGAAACATTTAACACCCTAGGGCTCTCTCAGAAACCAAGAAAATTCATCCTACTGGGCACTGCCTATCCTCATTTGCAAGCAGGCTCCATTCTTTGTCCTGAAAGAGAATCTTTATTAATGATTGTCCACAGTCAAGCAAACTAGCACCTTGCACTGTTGCTTAGGGCCACAGAAGGGAGATCTGGCTCATACAGATTCGATCTTTGTATTTTGCTGGTTGCTCTGGCTCAGGGAATCTCAGCCTTGATACTACTGACATCTGCAGATGAAACATTCTTTGCTGTAGGGCTGTCCTCCATATAGCAGGAGGTGGAGCAGCGTCCTGCTTTCTACCCGCTAGATGCCAGTGGCACTCCTCTCTACCAGTGTGACAAAAAAGTGTCTCTAGAAACTGCCAAATATCCTCTGGGGGTGAAAATCACCTCAATTGAGAGCAGCTACATTAGTGAAGGTGAATGTAGTGACCCATTCTGGCAATCTTGTGAGTGCCCACAAAAGGACTATCAGATGGCCCAGAAGTTTCCCAGGGGCCTTCTTCTGATTCCAAAACCATGAGCATCCCCCTGAAGTCAGGCCTGCAGACTTCATGTACCTGTAATAGTTCATACAAATTTTCTATTTCTTTTCCCCTGAATCTATAGGAAAACCTGAGAGTTCACTTTCAGGCTTAGCCAGTGATGGATCACATCCATTTCCATTTAGTAGATTTCAGCAGATTCTCTTGTTTTAACCTAAACTGTTGATACAAGGGCTCCCAGTCCCAGGATTCTCATAAATGCCTATAGCCCTGTTCCTTGTGCTCACTCCAGGTTCATAAACGGCTGTTTTATGGCCTAATCCTGGAAGGTGTCAGGGAAATTCAGGTATAACTCTGTAAATATTTCCACACTATGTTTCAGTATTGCTTTAACAGCATCTATTTTATGGACATGTTGGCTAGAAATGTCTATGAGTAGTAAAGGGGAGAAGACAAAGGGCTACATGGTACACGGTGAGAATTGGTGCATGTTTCTCAACTTGTGTTCTTAGCAGCCAAGCTCTGCCCCTGCCTCTGGTCAGAGATAAAGGGATATGGTCTCTGGTTTCAGTCCTGGAATCCTCCTAATTCTTCTGGACCAGAGCTGGGATTATGCCCACAGCTGACAGAGTTTACCAGCTCCTATAATACATAATTAAAATGACCTCTTTACTTCCTTCTGTGACTCCTATACTTCTCTTCATTCATGTCACAGGCATTTTTTTGATACTATGGATTGAACTGAGAGAGTCCCGAGTTACATCCTCAGCCCCTTTTATTTTTTATTTTGAGGCAAGGTCTCACTAAATTGTCCAAGCGAACCTCAAACTTTTGATCCTCCTGTCTCAGCTTCTAGAGTAGGTGGGATTACAGGTGTGTGCCATTACCCCCAGCTCACAGGCATTTCTTAAGCAGAAGCATTTCTCTAGTTACCAGGAATGCAGAGAGACTACAGTATGCCCTCAACTATTAATGAACTCTCTGTCTAATGAGAGGACAGATTAGCCAACTGATAGGGACAGTACAGAAGGGACAACACCACAGGAGACCAACATGGGTAGAGTGGTAACTCACTGCCCTTTGCGGGGGTGGGGGGGTCATTAAAGTCTGCACTGTATAGAGAATACTTCAACTTGATTTTCAAAGATGCCTGGCATTTACAAGGGGGGAAAAGAAAAGTCATCTCTTGATGAGAGAGAAAGGAATAAATGCACAAAGGCACAAAGATGCTGATAATGCCAGTGTTTTAGACAAATCATAATTACAGGAGCTTCAGAGCAATAATGTGCTTGGAAGGGGATGTTAGGGCCTCACTGTTTCATATATGCAGCAACCACAGGGCTTTCAATGTAGTGACCTGATGAAACTAGAATTCTAGCAAACTGGGCAGGGAGATTATTATAGATGTGGATAAAAATGACAAAAGAGCCAAAGCACATTTTCTACCCTTCAAAGAGCCCCTTGGCATGACATCTACAGAAAGGTGAAAGGATGTAGAGTGTTTCTGAAGTGAGAAGCTTGATGTGCCTGTAGCATCGGATGTGTCTCCCTGTTTGTTGAATGATCATGTTCAGCAGGTATTTTGAAGAGTATCGCAGTGCATTTCTCAGGAGTTTGGACACTGTTATATAGAGCAGTGACTCTGAATCTGAAGGTGACTGTCCCCATAGGACATTTGGAAGGGTCTGAAGACATTTTGGCATGTCACAACTGATGGAGGTGATGATGTATTGGTTTCCTATAACTGCTGTAACAAATAGCCACAAATTTCATGGGTTTAAACAACCCAAACTTACTATCTTACAGTTCTGGAGATCAGAAGCTCCACCAGGTTTCACTAGGCTAAATTCAAGGTATAGGAAGGACTGTGTTTGTTCTGAAGTCTCTAAGGTCTGTTGTGTTTCCTTGGTCAGTGGCCCACTTCCTTCATCTGCAGAGTCAACCATGTCACATTCCTGACCTTTCTTCCCTAGTCATTTGTTCCTCTGGATGTCTTCAGGACGCTGTTAGTACACTGGGTTCACCTGGATAATCCAGAATGATCTCACTATTATAAGGCCATCTGATTAGTGACCTTTAATTGCATCTGAAACCTTATTCCCTTTTGCCACACAGGTAACAGGGATTCAGGCATGGAAATCTTTGGTTGGACATTATTCTGCCTACCACAGGGGAGTTGCTATTGGTATCTTCTACAGAAGGCAAGAATGCTCCTAAGCACCTGACAGTGTTCAGGACAGTCACACAAAGAATTATCTGGCCAAGGCAATTAGTGCTAGAGCAGAGAAATTTTGCTTTAGAGAAGAGGAGAACTGGGTGATTTTTAAGTCTGAAGGTATAACATGATAAGCTATATATTTTACAAGAATCAGTCCAGTATCTGGTTTCGATATATGAAATGGTGAA